AAAACAAAGTGACAATATCATACGGACACACATTATTGCTCTCTCTCAATCAAATTTCTCTACTTCCATGTGCTCTGCAAAGCACTCAAATTAGTGCTTTAAAAAGTGGCCCAAGTAGTCTCAATTATTTCCATAAGACTGCTCACTTGCTTAAAAAAAAACATATGTCCAAGCATTTGGTGATTTTTATCATTAGCGCAACATCCAAAGAAACCCCAAAAAGAACAATGGAAAAAGTGGGAACATCTATAAATCTTGCAAAACCTTATTAAGAGGATATAGAACCTTCTATATACTAGAGTCGAGATTTTTTATTGTGAGTTTGGCTCCTATATCCATATTTATTCAGCAAAAAGTCAATAGCCTGATTTCCCAAAACACTCACCATCCAGCAGTATCCATTTGTGTCATTTCGTTTCAGAAATGCATAATGACTGAAGACTAATTCCTAACACTACTGCAGCTAATAACATTGCTCACAAAATACGGGCTGGAATTTTAGGAGGAATTATATTGTTAATTTTAGATTTGTTAGAGCTGTTTTGCATAAGTTCTCATTGCTAAAGCAGGAAACATATAGGTATCAATAAAACATCCCTTCTAAGTGTTCTTTACTTTGATAGAGTTATCTAAATCGTTTCTATGGCCTGAAGACAGAAGCACACTCTCGTTTTCGGAGAAAGAAGATTGGGGCTGTATCTGAAACACTCAAGGAAATGCAGTCATTTTTTGGACTGCAAGTGACTGGGAAGTTTGATGATGAGACTACAAAGATGATGAAGCAGCCGAGATGTGGTATGCCTGACATTGGCAACTATGTTCTAACACAAGGGCATCCAAAGTGGTCAACAAATGACTTGACATACAGGTAACAGTTCTCTAAGCAATTTGTGGACCAAAATATTAAGGCCCAAACTTGCAAATATGTGGGCCTAAACACCCAAAACTAGGCTCTCCTTTCCAGAATTCAGCACCAAGAGAAGCATCTTGGTACTCTAAGGAAGGAGACTGCCTTACTGAAAGTTAGGAGGAGTTGTAAGTACTCAGGATTTGAATACCAAGCTACTTATTCCACTGTCAAAACATGGATACAAGGAATTGTGCATCAAATATAAAATATTTTTACTACAGCAATGTATTGTTAATAATAACCTGCAAGTGTCATAGACTAATCTTTGAACCCATAGACTAATCTTTGCTTTATTTTAAAGGATTATAAACCGCACACCTGACATGAGACCAGCTGATGTGGACAAGGCTATCAAACAAGCATTTGAAGTCTGGAGTAATGTAACACCACTGACATTCAGAAGAATCGAGGATGGAGAAGCAGATATAATGATCTCTTTTCAATATAGGGGTGAGACATAATAACAATATAATTCAACAGATTACAATGCATATTTAGGCACTTATCAAGTAGTCATTAGCCATCCTCAATTATAGAGGCAACTGAGTATATTAATTAAATAATTATTTGGTTTTTTAGATCATGGGGACAATTCTCCCTTTGATGGACCTAATGGGATATTAGCTCATGCTTTTCAGCCTGGCCCCCGGATTGGTGGAGATGTTCACTTTGATGAGGAGGAAACTTGGACAAAAGACAGTAGGGGTAAGATTTACCTTGCTGGCCTTGTTTGCTCAGGTGACTTAGCAATTTACACCTTGAGTTGTTCCATTGACTTCTGATGTTATATTGGGAGTAAGAGTAACAGATTCTGGCCTCGAGATGATTTTTTTCCCTCCTTTTTTCAGCAGAATCCTTTCATAGAAGCAATTCTGCAAGTGGATACAATTATTTGGGTTTCAGTCTGGATTTTTTTTTCTGGTGTGTTTTATGAATACTTAGAACTGGCACTGAGAAAAGTTACTTTCTTTGGCAACAAGCCCCACCTTGAAAGAAGGGCTTATGTTTTTTATATGTCTTTGAACTGCAGGGCCTAACACTGACTGACTGGTGTCTTTGGACATCATTGCAGTTCATTATTGCAGTTTTCCCCTCTAACGTTTTGGCATTAATAAATCAAATGAAATGAAGGAACCAAAATTCCTTTTGTAGGAATTGCTACAAAGTCCATAGAAGGTCTAGGGTGTGCTATAGGAGATGGCTGTAGGGGAAGTAATAAGGGGAACAGGGAGATCATAACCAGTGCCTGATGTGTCTGTGTATTCATAAATCTATTCTTTTTCTACTATACCTCTTTGAACCATAGTGTTTGCAAGATGAGTGAAAGCTACTTTTCTATCTGTAGTGTGTTCTGGCCTGGCACAATATTGTTTCTCTGCCACCTGCACCAGAGATTCAAAAGGATTTCACTCATTTGAGTGACATTATCTTTATTCCTCAGGCTACAGCTTGTTCAATGTTGCTGCCCATGAGTTGGGCCATTCCTTGGGTTTGTCTCATTCTACTGATCCTGGTGCCTTGATGTTCCCAACCTATACCTATGTGGACCCTAAAGAATTCCACCTCCATCAGGATGATATTAACGGCATTCAAGCCATCTATGGTATGAAAATCAACATCAAATTATTCACTTGGTTAATTTTGATTAATAAATTAGAAATGCTTATTTTAAGAAACCATCTGGTGTCATCACGCAGAGAAACCACAGAAAGTATAGACAATAGAGAGGGAAGAGACCTGCTAAGGTCATGTAGTTCATTCCTCTGCTTACAGGCACGATCACTTACTCCTAAAGCTGATAGTTGTTTGTTCATTTACTTTTAATAAACCTCTGATAAAGGCAATTATACTGGTTCCAAATATAACTTGTCCCAAGAGTAGGTTTCCCTCCCATCTTTTGGTTAATAGAAGGTGGGTTATGTTCCTAGGGTTGGCTTTCACTGAAGATCAGCTCTCCTGCAACCCATCCCTACAGCATATAACAGTCCATAAGTGCTGAACTTCATCTGTGCTGATTTAGCAAGTAAAAAGCCCTGACATTTCCTGGAAGAAGCGTGCTTCCTGAGCCTTCCCACTATTAACCCAGTGTTTGGAAGGTTCCCGAAGACCTGCTTCATGCTGGTTTTCAACTGTATTTTCCTATTATATGTACCGTAATAATAAGTTTTCTCAATCCACCTGTAGGACCATCTCTGAAACCTGTTCAACCAACTGGACCCTCAACTCCAGAAGCTTGCAACCCTAATTTGTCTTTTGACGCTGTTGCTACTCTGCGTGGAGAAATGTTGTTTTTTAAGGACAGGTAAAATCAACAAGCCTATGTAGTGTTTCATGCTACTGCAGTACTGAAAAGGAAAAAAAAGCTACAAAAAAAATGAATTCCAGTCATAAAAAGAAACAGCCCACTTGAAAATGTAGTGCTAACATCATAAAATCACTGGAAAGTCGCTATCTATTTCTCTAGTTGGTGGCTTGCATACCTTGATAGCGGGCACATTGGCTTTACTTAAACTTTCACTAAATTATGGTAAAATGATTTTTCTGATTCCAAAGGGGTTTTGCTGATTGGTGAAGTATCTTCTGACCTGTGTGCTTGTAAAGCAATCTTTATTGTTTCCATTGGGAACTGAAACCCAGATCTGGCAGTGAGCGTGGGTGAATCCCTTCACTGTGGACAAATCCATGTGGCAGCAAGGTGTGCAAGTGATATACCAGCAGAGGCAGTAAGAGAAATTTGGGGGCATGATACGTCCTGGTACAGCAGCCTCACTATCTCCCATTTTATGCAGAGGAAATAGGAAAATTCTATATGAATTCTAAGCTAAATGCATACGTTTTGGGAAAAATATCTACAAATCATATTTCTACTTCATACACGCACACACTACTTGCAATTATTATTTTACTCATTATATTCTAGATCTATGAAGAAATAAAAGTCTTATAATTTGAAGGGAATGGGGGCGCTTTGTAATGCTCCTACCACACTGTGGTTCTTCAGCAGTAATAGACTCTTTGATCTTTTGCAAAAAAAAGAGCTCAAGAATTAAGGCTAAGATATAGTAGCTGTAGCAGGCTTGCATCTTTCCTGGAGACTGGGAACTAAGAGGACACAGTTTACTCACTGTACTTTTCTGAGTAGAGTGGAACTGCATTAATGTGCAAATTGTATCTCAGGTTTTTCTGGCGCAAGCATCCCCAGCGAATGGACAATGGGTTCAATATTATTTCTGATTTCTGGCCAACCCTGTCATCTGGAATTCAAGCTGCTTATGAAAATGTTGAAAAAGATCAAGTTGTTGTTTTCAAAGGTAAAAGAATTCAACCTAAAATTCTCTTGGTCTTCAAATCTATATGAATCTGTTGCAATATAGGTTGCTTCAACTGTGCAATTAAGGCAATCCATCCTGGTTCTCTTTGGATTAAGACCCATTTACATTTCAAGCAGAAATATCTTGGCTACATTTTAAATGTTTATTTGCATAGCTGAATTGCATGCTTGAATGCATACACAAATTGTCAGCTGTAGGCTAAATTACTATCAGAGGTTCAAGAAAGGACCTAGTAGGTCTGGAGGTTAACAAAGGATCGATCATTGACATGGTCCTTATCTTTGACCACAACACCACTCAGAGATGCAAAAGATACTTTACTGAACACACAAAGAGAGAAATCTGTTGCAAAGAGCTTATATTCTACCTGAAGATAGAACCCGTATTAAAGGGGAATTGCCAGAAGTCAGTCAAACACCATAGGGAAATTTTGAAATTTTGAAACTTTAAACTTTAACTTTTCAGTATTCTGTTAGAACTTTTGAGGGGCAGTATTTTGTGAGCAACTGGAACATGATTTTTTTATTCAGGTCCTTAAAATTTGGAATGAGTTATAACATTTTCTGCAAAATCTGAAAAGTGTTAATAATGTTGAAAAATTTTGTGAAACATATTGTTTTAGAAACAAAGCCATTTTGATGGAAACAACCTTAAATTTTAAAGATTTCAGTCAGCTCTCATGGATTTCAATGAGCTCATGGTTTGTATTAATGAAACAGTGATTTGTATTTTTCCCTACAGAGAGCAAATATTGGGTTCTCAATGGATTTGATATAGCCTATGGGTACCCTAAAAGAATCCATCAGCTGGGCTTTCCAAGGACTGTTAAAAGAATTAATGCAGTTTTCAGTGATGAGAATACCAGGAAAACATATTTCTTTGTAAATGACAAGTATTGGAGGTAAGATTTACCTTAACAGTCTCAAAGTATATTTCCTGCTGGAGGCTCAAAAGATAATTATGGAACACAATATAAAAAAGCATGTAATTCATCTGGGTTAAAAATATTAAATAGCAGTTATGGATTTTTCTTTTCTAAACCTAAATACCCTGATAAAAATGCGAAATTTTTATATGGAATTTTATAACCATCATATTATTCTGGATCTGGGATACATGTAATAAAATCCACAAACCCTAGAAAAGCTATTTCTAGTAAATTTTAGCCCACCTGGGTGCAGTTTTTTTCTCTTATGAAATTCAAGAGAATTCATTAGAATCCACTATTCAAGGTAAAACAGGAGCTAACACGGTAGATTTTTCCCTTCAGCATGAAATCAACACACTGATTTCATCTGAAGTCAAATGCTTGGATGAGATGGTTTGGACAGGAAAGATTAGGTGACCTCTTGAAGATGTTCCCATACCTATTGTTCTATGCTTCTGTGATTTATGTTGTCTAATTGTACATTATTTTGTGGTTACATTTTGTTTATATTTAATGACAGCTCTCTAAACTTTTTCTACAGTAATTTGCACTGAACTGTTTGTGTCATATTAGTATACACTTCAGATGCACCCTTTCACAAGAAACACTCAGTGGTACTAAAATGAATACTTTCAAGAATGTTCTGGCCTAAGTTGCATATAGGGCAGGAAATATATACTATACTTACTTGAATGGAAGATGACCCTGATTATAAGACAATTCCCCCAATAATTACATTCTACATATGGAAAATGTATAATTTTGTTATAAATTTCCAGGTATAAAATCTAATTACTTGAGGTTTACCTTGAATTTGTCCCATTCCCACTGCTATAGCAGGGAAAATAAATTTGGGGGGTCAGATAGCCCCTTTGTTCTCTGCTTCCTCACAACTTTTTCCCCTGGCAGCCCCTTCCCCCTCTCCTTACTGTCCGATCCTGCTCTCCCTGAGCACACCAGAGTCAACAGGATTTCAAGCCACAATGACTCCACAGCTCAACACTGCTCAGTGCATGTGTGTACTCCAGATACTCCCAGAAAGAAGCCATGTGCTAATTAGCTACCATTCTTGCCACAAGTCCTGGGATGCTCCAAAAATGTATATGCAGACGAGGTGCAGGGCAACCTGCTCTGGCCACGCTTATCATATGCACCAGGCTGAAACAGAGAGTAACAGAGGTATTCTGGGTGAACTGTATACAATGTCACCATGCATTTAAAAAGTGTTGGTTTTAGGAAGGATTGTGCTTAATGGGTTACCATATATTTTATTCAAATGGGCTATGCTGATCTATTTTTGTAATGGCCTCTTGTGAGCTAAGATGAAGTGTAGGAAGCATCTGAAGTCCAGGACTAAAGAGTCTGTGATGGAGGATGCTTACTGGGGCTGTTGGAAAGGGCACCATTCTGTTCTGATGTTTCGACAGAACAGTGTTTCATTTCGACTTTCATTTTGATTCGAAACAGCTGTTCTGTTTCATTTTGTTGAAACAGTTTTGCTGTGTTTCAACTCTGTTTCGAAGTTTCGCCCATAGGCTATAATGGAGAAGCTCAAAACAGTCTATAACTTTGTCTTTTCTGGCCTGATTTGGATGCAACTTTGCAGAAATGGTAGCCCCTTCTGAGGACCTGCCAAGTTTCAGGGAGAAAAGTGCAGGGCCTTCCGGGAAACTGAACCTCAACATCTTGAAAGCAAAAAACTCATGACAGGCAAAAATCGTGTCATGGGTGCTTGCAGGACTGTGTCTGTCTTGGGGCACGGGGGGGTGAAAACTGCAGGCCAGCTAGGCCCTGCTGAGGCCACGAAGCCTGCCAGCTGTGGAGGAGATCGGTATAGGTGCAAGGGGAATCTGGGGTCTTGGGCCCTGCACCTTTAGCTGCTGATGGGCAAAACTTGTGACATGGGTGGGTGACACTGTGCTTGTGTTAAGGTTGCACCCTCACTCAACTGACACTGAGACAGAAAGCAGGGCAGTTCAAACAATGCTGCCTTGTAGTCCATCCCTCCCCCAGAGGACTAGGATTGCCAGAGACCTCAGGAAAGGATGATAGTCACTGGCCAGCTACACAGTCAATGACAGCAGTCCTTCCCCCTCCTCCCCCTCCCTCTCCTTACTTTAGTTCCTGTTTCCCTGCAGGCAAGCCCAGCCTGAGCTTTGAAACTCGAAACATTTAAAAAATTTTGAAATGTTTCAACTTGCCTCATTTTGTTTTGAGGCTGTTTCAAAGCTCTCTGTTTCGTTTTGATTTTGCTGTTTCGAGCTTGATAAGAGTTGAAACAACATCGAAACAAAACTGCTGGCGAAATTTCACACAGCCTATTGCTTACCTGTAAGAGGCATCCAAATCTCAAGACCTCTGGGCTTGGGCCTGCACGTAGGATGCCTGCCAATGGATTTGGGAGTATCTGAAGTCCCAGGATGATAGGTCTGGGACAGAGGATGCTTGCTGGTTGTAGCACCATTCATGGTGTTTAGAACAATTGAGTTCTGCCTGCTCAATCAACAGGGTTTTTGAAACGACTGAGTTCTGCTCAGTCAATATGATTTGGAACTGATTTGGCTAATTTGAAGTATGAATTATATTATAAAAAAAATGTTTGCCTTATATGGACTGCATGTTTTACAGTTATGATCAGTGCTGGTTGCATTTAATCAGCTTCATTTCTTGTTTTCTATTGCAGAGCGCATGCTACTTTTGCCAATAGTTTAATGATAGACAAAGTGTTTAGTGAGATTTCCTTATATGCTGTTACAGGACAAGGCATACAAGGCATTTTCCCCATGCCAACTGGAGCAAAAAACCTTATCTTGTATTCAAGTAAATGTGTTATTCACTTGAGGTAGCCTTTCAAGTAAAATAACCCCAGTTCAGACAAATATCATCTCTGGCCCACTTTCACCATAGACTCATTACTTACTTTTACCTGTCCTTTGAATGGATGCATATACAAACATACACACCACAACACATTCTCGAGGTAAAATCCTGGCATCATTGGCATTTTGTCATTCTCTTCTGTTGGACAAAGATTTCAGTCTCTCACATCTCCCATGAGTATGCTGACTTGATACATAATGGCAGGAATTCAAACAGTCCAGTCACTTCTGAATGTAAGAACAGTGGCATTTATGTGTCAGGTCTTGTTTTTGCTTTTTAAAATGTTTTTTGCTTATCTGTAAATATTAACTCTATTTCTTTTATTAAGATATGATGAAAACACACAATCTATGGATAAGGGTTATCCAAGGAAAATAATCAAAGACTTTGGAATAACTGGCAAGGTGGATGCAGTTTTCCAGCATGAAGGTAAATAAAACAAATATTTATGTTCATTATGCTAGAAGAGGTGTACTTCTCTAAATTGAAAATATATTTTAAAGATGATAATTATTAATATTTATGCACATTTATGGGAATTAGGCATTCTAATAAATGAGTATCTACTTCCTGTCAAAGTTCATTTTGTTTTCTAGTAAAATCTCTGAAAAAATGTTTCACCCGTGAATTTACTCCTTCCATTTCTTTTTCTTTCTAGACTATATCTATTTCTTCCGTGGAACAAACCAGTACCAGTTTGATCCTAATACCAAGCAAGTTGTCAGGATCCTGAGGAGCAACAGCTGGTTTACTTGTTAACTGCAGTGATTTCTTCAACTTTTAATGGTTATTTTAAAAGGAAAAGCAGTATTATTTTTTCTCAGACTTTTGTATGAAAAACTACAAATGGTGATCCTGATGGAATTGAATCATTTACTGATTTTTTACAAACTGGATTGATAATTGACAAAACAAATGTATTATGTTTTTTATACCATACCATTGTGTGTGTTTCTTTCTATTAGAGCCAGTTCTAAAAAGCTCAGTTCTGGCCCCAAGCACAGCCTGAAGCACTAGACTGGGTGCATGGAAATCACATGGGGCATTGCGAGTACAAAATTTGCTCCATATCAGAAGAGGAAATGCCACATAGCTCCACCTAGCTACACCATCATGCATGGTCCACTCCGAAGTTTCTATTTGGTTAGGCCTGTTGATCTCTATAACAATGAATCCACTAGTCATACCAGTGCCTGCTTCTCTGACCCACTCTATTCCCCACATTTCTCTTAATAAGTCATCCACTGAGCTCTGCTCCTTCACTTAACTTTAAGTCCTGTCCTTTCCCTTCCAGTGGCTCTGTATCATTTCCATTAAATTCAGGACAATCTACAGCTCAGTTTACGGCTGCTCCAGAACCACACTTTTTTATTAGTTAGAACCTTCTTATTTCCAAATTATGTTTTCCGTTGATGAGTTTATACTGCTTCGTTCTTGAGTATACAACATGGATGTTTAGCAAAAACAGTTCTTTCCCTTCCCTGGTGTTCTTCCTGTAATCCAGTCAGAGAGAACAACCACATCCCTTTTCAGCCTTTGCGTTGCTAGGTGTGCTATGACTGGCATCAAGTGGCACTGTGGCTCCTTCTTGTTCTCTCCTAATTACCTACCTTGATGTTGTTCATGAAAAAAAAGGCTGGGAGGTTGCCCAAGGCCCAGAGGGAGTCCATTCCACTGCCAAACCACCCTCTATCCAATCTGCTGTGCCTCTCTCTTGGCCCTATAGATGTTTTTGGATACCAGGTACCTTAAGGGCGCTGTTCTTGGCCTCCAACCACACCTAGAGCCACACCCATGCCTTGCAGATGTTACTGATTCTCATTTCATTGGGCAGCTTGCCCCAGTGCAATGTCTGGCCTTCAGGCCTCAAAAACTTTGTTGGAGCTTCAGCCTTCCTGGCCTTGGCCCGTTTTCTCTCTAACTGGGCACCCCTTGCCCAAGGCACACTGTCTAGGACCTCAATTTCCAGGCTTCAGCCCTGGTTTCCAGCCTCTCAGGCTCTTGGCCCCTGGCCCTGGCTTTGCCCTTCTTAGGCTCTGATCTTAGACCTCCCAGCTTCAGGACACTACTATATTGCCTTGTCTGGCCCAGGCTTTTGTCCCCTTAGCTTAAAAATCATAGAATCATAGAAAATTAGTTTTGGAAGGGACCTCAGGAGGTCATCTAGTCTAACCCCCTGCTCAAGGCAGGGCAATCCCCATCTTGCACTTGCCTGTCTGATATCTAGCCCTGGCAGGGCTCAAATACTCCCATGTCCCTTGCACTCCAATGATCTGTGTGCCCTTGCCCCCTGGCAGGGCTCAATTGAGTGCCTCTCAGGTTTAAACCTTGGTGCACCCTCAGACACCCACATCACCACTTTTTAGCCACATTCAGTCCACCGGTTTAACTATAACCCGTTCTGAGTAAACAAACATTAGGAAAGAAAAAGGTGAGCTATCACTTAAAAAGAAAACCTTCCTCCACTCTGGGTAAATAAACAGTGATCAGAGCAGCCTTCACCCCCGAGTTCTCACCACTCTGCCTCCAAAGTGCTCCAGCTCCTGCAAGGGCTTCTCAGGCAGCCACACTCTCCAGAGAGCTTGGGTCCCTGCCAGGCCCCCCTTCCTCCGTGTTCCACCTTTTTCTACTTCCTAGCACAGTGCTCTAATTACCAGACTACACACCGTGTAATATTTAGGTTCTTCAATTTGAAGCTGTCCCACAGGTTGGAAAATAGGAGGAACTTTCTGACTATGAGTCTGATCAAGTATTGGAATGAGATCCCTAAAGAAGTTGTGGAATCTCTATCCCTGAAAATTTTCAAGAGCAGATTTGACAGACACTTGGCTAGGATTATTTAATCAGGGATGATCCTGCCTAGAGCAGGGGGTTGGACTACACTAGATGATCCTGTGAGGTCCCTTCCAGCCCTACTTTCCTACAATCCTATGATTTTATGTTAACCAGCACTGAGAACACATATACCAGATCACACAAGGGAATCAGATTCCAGTGCTGAGTGCTAGATTATGCCTGCAATCTTCTTTTAAATGCAATGGATATTTCAGACAGAGATATAGAAAGGGCATTGGAGCTTGGGCCTTGCCTTCTGAAGATTTCCTGGGGTCTAAGCAAATCTTATGATATCTATAAGGTTTAAGAGCAATGTAGGTGACCCTGATGGAATGAGCTCTGGTACACTTAGAAAGGAGATCCTCAACCTGTCTTCCAGTGGGTCGGTTACAGGCTTGGGCTCTGCAGATTAAAATGACCCAGAGAATAGTGCCCTCAAGAACAAAAATTTTGACCTATATTGTTTGTGAATTCAGGAAACGGGTAATTGGCTTGTAACGGTGACACTCCTTACTTATCTATTGATTTTGGCTGATAATGTTACCTCTGAAATGGTGCAAGTAGTTTAGCTGAAACCCAGGAACTGAGTTTTACTCATTGTTTAAATGCAAAGGATTAATTGCACTGATTTAGTGTGTGACAAGCTGTACTTTGAGCCATGCTCTATGTCACTAACCTTTGAACCGAAGTCTGTTACAAATTTGAGTAACCAGCTATTAATACTGCCAAAGCAAGGTGTCATCGTTCTAGTGACTGATAATTCCTCTAAATCAGAACCAAGATGGTTTGGCACTGGCGATGCATAGGGAGTGTACAGGCGTGCACATGCACCCCCTGAGAGAGCTGGTGCACCCCTGATAGGCCACAGTCCCCGCTTTGGTGACAGGCAGCGGGAGAGCAGCAGAAGCACTGTGGCCGCTTCTGGAAGCCGGTAAGGGAGTTCGGCCACAGGAGGACCCCCCCTCCCACCCTTCAGTTGCTGACTGGTTGCTGCAGGGGCACGTGCTCCCCCTGAGTAAGGTGGCACCAGTCACCCATGTGGTTTGGCTAAAGGAAATGTTCAGAATTGGCTATCTCCTGATTTATTAGAATGACCTGATAAAAGAATCTCCTGATTTATAAGGATTGCAGACCTAAGAACATTTTTTACTAACAATCTGCAAACTTTTTACTGAAAACCAAACTTTTGTACTTACATATGCTTTTACATATGTCCCACCCTGTACCTTAGACTGCCCAGAGCCATGCAGCCCTCCTGCATTCAACAGGTGTTACAAGCAGGCGATGGCAGATAGGATACAACAGCTACACATGAATGAAGGGGAAGGGGACTGTGAAGGTTTGCTTGAGCCCCAAAACCCTGATTGAGGGCTCTCTGCAGGGTGCTAAGCTAGAAACCCATTCAGACACAAGGTGGCATTGTTCTGTTCTGTCTGTCCATTAACATTTGCATCTAGCTTTATTTTAGCCTCTATCCCTTAAAGTATTTTATGAAAAATGTATAACCCATAAATTTATGAACAACTGGCAACCCTGATGACACAGGATATGAAGGTCAAAGGCTTGTAAGAATGCAAACATGCAAGAGTGAGAAGAGGCCCCTTCCTTTCTAAGCCATGATCCAAATTTATTGAATTCCATAGTTTTCTAGCTTATTAAGAAATGATGCAACAACAGATTAAATACTTTCATATAATACCGCAGTGCACTAGCTCCTCTAATGTCTTCTGTAAAAAAATATTCATTATCAAAAAAGCTTGTTTTGGCACTTTTCTTGCATAAGTAAGTTACCTTCAGAAAAGATTAAAAGCAGACAAGTTGTAAACAGATTAAGGCACGACTGACAGGGTAAGATGTTTGTATCACACCTTCTATTAAAACTTACTAGTTCCACCTAGTGGTAAAGGAGTAAAATTGAACACAATTATTTTGAAAACTAATGGCATAATAGCTAAGACCAGTAGTGGAGTTGTGAACAACTGTTCTTGAATTTCATAGTAGTATGAAGGAGAGCTGAATACTTAGCAAGTTCCTCCTCCAACAGAATCTCCTGTCCTTGGAGGAACCCCAGTATGGTATCCCAAGGAAAGTTTCTTATGACTTATTTCATCGAGGATGGGGATGGGGATGGAGGATTTGCAACTTTTCCTAACATTATGCCAAAATTTGGCACTTCCAACACAGCTTTTAATTAATCTCTAGGCTAAATTAAGTATTCATGGAGCCACTGACCATGTTCAGTAAAGTTATGCTGAGGTCAGTTGACTGCTTGGTGAGACAGAGCCATCCTGGTACACACATAAGGAAAGGTAAGTCCCAAAATTTCAATTAGGTAGAAATCATAGCTAGAAGGCTCAGATGCCAGACAAAGGAACTCTGAAATTTTTGCTCAGTAGCTTAATGGTCAGAGCACTCGCACAGATTCTAGGCCTTTCTCACCCTGGGCTGGCAAAGGGCAGGTTGAACTTGTATCACCAGCTTCCTAGTAAAGTGCTCTAACAATCAGGTCATGAACTAACTTCTCAGTCTTCTCCAGCCCTCCTCCTGGAACTGACCTGCTGGAAGGGAGGGGGCCCTGTATTCTACACTGGACTCCTACTCCCAATAGAGCAAAAACTCTATCACTGTTATTTCTCATTTATTCAATAAATAATAAATGCAGGAGGCAATGGACAAGCTTCAAGAGGAGGGCCTGAGAAGGTGCAGGCTATTAAACAGCCTATAGTTGTATGGCTATTATACATGGATGATGTGTAGGTTCAACTATCCTGGGGTAGTTAGCATCTGGATCTCCTGCTCCCTTGGCAGGTATCTTATTCACTAGGGTATTGGCCTAAACCACAGGAGCCTTGTCCTCTTCCATTTTACTTCCAGCACATACTTGCACAATGACATTCTAATTTCCCACAGGGTAAAACAGAACT